AACGCATTGCAAGTTAAAACTTTGTTCATCATAGGTGTGAGTGAATGTTTGCTTACATCTTAGAAGTTTTATTGTCCTCAACATTAATTTTCGTATATTTAGTTTTGAAATATCTAACTAGTTTGATATACTGAACAAATCGTTTAGGACTGTTATTGGTTTATTTGTTTGATCTTGTATTCGGTCACAATTTGACTCAATAAATAGTGTGGACTGATGTTGCTTATGATTAGTTTTATGGAACAGCAGTCATACAAGTCAAAGCTACCAATGTGTTATCATTTTAACAAGAACGTCGTCTCATCTTTGTATAAGAGATATTATAGATCATCTAATAACAGTACATGCCAGTTCTGTATTTTGATACATATATATAGTCACTTTATTTGTTGAAATTATCTGTATATGATGAGTATGTATCCGGTCTATAAGAGTACCAATCTTTTCAAATGGAACCGATTTATGTCAGAGACGACCATACCACTTAACTAAAAAAATAGTGTCCTTCATGAGAAGCAACTTGCAAACATAATATTGTTTATCTCTTTACAAAAACAAGTTTAAAAGATACTACCGCAGAAAAATGCCATTTTGTGCATATCATTATCGATCAGTTATTAGTTAGATGTATTGTACTTTTTCATGTAAATTTTGAGTATGAAACAAATTAATTGAAAATAACCATGTTATACTTCGAGTATAGCTATCAGTGTTACAATTTTGTATAATCATTATATGTACTTCTTTTGATGACTAATGCATATAATGTACATCCTCGCCGCCATCGAAGAAAAATATAAATCGTAAGCTTTATCTTCAATACTTACTGTCCACAGGTACAGCTACAATGAGAACATATTATATCATCGTCGGACTTTTGTCAATATTTATTTACCTATTGGACCTAACAGTGTAAGTTCTATAGTTTGAAATGGTTGACATATTGTCAATTTGGGATTTTGTTTAGCTTACTTAATATACGGTATTTGTATTTCTCACTATTGGAAAAGCCCGTAATTTGACTTATTGCAACTAACATCAACATAATTTACTCTATGTTGGGTAGCTGTCTCATTGTCAATTCTACCACATGTTGTAATGTTTATACTATTGGCTAATAGTTTAATGACTGAACACATAATTTATCAAATTAAAATATTCAAGTCTGTTTGATTTTTTTATAAGCAAAGTAACACTGTTATTTATGCATCTTGATAACAATTTTCAAACATTGCAACTATCACCTTTTTCCACTTTTATAAGAAGATTGCCATTTGTCATATGATTCCTATGACAACAAATGCTCAAAGTTTTTAGTTTTAGTTTTCGATTTGGTACTTGACAGTTACCGACTAAAGTTAAATAATACATATATTTGAAATAGTAATGGTATGATATATATATATTAAATAACACAAAGGATAACACATGTTAGTTTTTTGTAATTCTAGAACTATGTTTTCAAAACAGACGTCATACATTTAGTATTAATCGGAAACGACTTTGAATGGCGACGATTAATCAAATAACCAGGAATTCTGGTTTACAGCATAATATGTACATATCGGGAATTGATACATTGCTTGGACATATAGATATATAACATGAAAGGAATAATGAGAAAGAAGACACAAGATAAAAAAAATATTGTTACAATTTAGACATATTGTCACCTTTTTTCAGAAATACGGACATACTAAACATATACGATATTTGAATAACTTGGAATATCGTTACGCAATTAGATAATTCCGCTTATTGCAAGCTGCATAATTAAGTACATTATACAAGTTTCAAAGACTATCGTCATGTTATAAATTGCGATATAATTGTAAACTATACTTATCTGTTTAAAACTATTCACTTACCGACTGCAAAAAAAATAAATTAAAATCAAGTCAATGATTATGCAATACAGCATACCATCAAGCAATGAGTTATAGAAGCCATCGCAATATAAGTAGTAAAGTGATAGTAGAACTGACAGCTTTTTGTTGAATGTTATAGTCAGTAATCATGTCAAAAATTAAAATTTTGTGTTTGTAATATTTTATAATAACAAACATATAATTTTTTCTGAAGCACTGGTAGAACTTCAGTCTTCTATTGCCTGTTCTGTCTTACTGTCATATCAAATAACAAATGCAACTACGTTTGACGGAAAAACATGTTTGTTCTTTTATCAATTAAAAAATATAAAACGTCCATATGTGAGTGATAATTAGTTAGCTGTGCATATCAAATGTTATAAAACTTTCAAACATTGTCCGTTTACAGATACATGTACAACATTATAAACCTGATCTCTTTAATAAGTTTCTATACTGTTTTATGGAATACTCTGATACTACAAGCAGTGTATTTGTCAGGTTATTAAGTCGTAATGAATTACCTACACAACGTTTAAGGTGGATCAACACTAAATATTTCTTGAGACAGAATTTTTTTATATTTTGTGTAAATGCAGTTTATAAAATACTCTTTTGAAAAAAACAATAAAAAATAGGGGTCACCGTGCTTGTTTGGTCAGTACCCTTATCCAAAGTATTGTGTATTTTCGAGGTTTTTTATATAGATATTACAGGGAAATCGGCATTTGTAAATTTTCCCTAGTTCAGAAAAAAAATCCATGAGACAGATTTTTCTTATTTTCTCTAGAATTGTAGCAAAGATATAGATGAAAAAAAAAATAATAAAAAAACATAGGGTCACCGTGCATTTTAAAGAAATATTTCATCATTTGCTTGAATATTTTCAGATTTTCAGGAAGGGGAGATAACTGTATCCAGATTTCCCGGGAAAAGATTAATATAAATACTCATTACTAATAGAACTAAATTAGGTAAATTCTAGGTCCTTATTATTATTTGAAACACTTTTGTGTTACAGATTTCTACTACAAAAATCCATGATAACCAATGATATCTCCATAGCAACCAAATAAATCAATTTATGCACTTGGAAATTAGAACATAGAGAAACATGTAAATTTGAGCATATTTATGTAGTACAAATTATAAGTCTTTATTGCTTAAATTGATTTCACAATCTGTTATTCTCTGCAAAATTATATTAAAGGAATGCCTATAAGTTATTTTGAGATATCTGGACCAAAATTTGGGTAAAATCCAATTTTTTTAACACAAAATCACAAATTTTGAGAAACTAATTTTTGTACTTGAATTTCAACCAAATTTATATACAATTTAGAAAATGTTATCAAAACTTGGTTTTATACACCAACAATTATTTTGATCTTGTAGATTCTTCTTCTCGGTTTAAAAAAAAATCACAAATTTTGAACAATGACGTACAGGTAGGGTTAGGCATTCAAAATCATATCCAGATGTCAAAAAGTTTCAATATGTTGTAAAAACTAACTTTCTGATCCCGTAAAGTGGAGTTGCTCTAGAGGCATGCATGCAGTGGAAGATCCAGAAGTAGGGGTCTGCACTGGTCATGCTTCAGTGATTACCTACATATAAATCAACCAACCCCCCTTTTTTTTCTGCGTGCATCAATCTCTCCGTGTGTCTCATAAAAATGTGCAAGTGGTTTTCTAGTTGTCATCTTTTTACCTTGTTTTCATGTCAGTTTTCGTTATCATGTATTTTGAGGGAAAATGCTAATTTTGATGTACAATATGTGGATTTTGAGGATTATTATCTCTTTTTGCACAATTGACCAAAACATATTTTGAGTACTAGTCACCAACTTACCGTTTTTACCATGTTACAGATTTTAGTACAAGCCATTTTGCTAATGATAAATGCCATAAGGTGACCTATAGTAGCTGACTTCTACGCCTGAATAGTTGTCTCATTGTCAAAGATATCACACGTTCTTATTTTTACAATACAAATTTAATTAATGTATACATTTAAACATTTTCACAAAAGAAAGCAAACAAAGACTTATGGCTGACCATGTGGTATGGGCTTTGCTTATTGTTGAAGACTTGATGGTTACCAATAGCTGTTTCTGCGTCATTTGTTCTCTAAAGGAGAGTTGTTACATTGGCAATCGAACCACATCTTTTTATTTTGCTGAACACACATTCTTTTTACAGGTTGATCAATAATTTGAAAGGGTCCTCTATATGTCAATCAGTAAACTGCAGCTTCTACTAGACACATAAATTGAAATTCATTATTTGAGTAAAAAAGAGATTAAAAGGTTAAAATTAAAATTTGTTTGCTAGAAAGAAAGATGTCAAATGGCTTTGTTGACTTTTATTCCCTATCCTTTGCATCCATGCCAAATTTAAAACAAATTGAAGAAAACACATGAGCTCAATCTGATGAAAGGGATCTGTATTATGTATCCAAGACATATATAATATTGCACTTATTCTGTTGCACAATATACAGAAAGAAATACAAGCATGAACTATAAGCAATTTTTATTAATTAATAGACTGGTAATTTAGTCCATTATGTATCATATTGTAAATATATATATATATATATATATATATGAATATATAATGTTTGAATCCAAATTAACATTTGCAATTTTCATTATTTTTTTTATCACAGTTGTTACAAACACTTATTGTATTACATATTGAAAACAAAAATGTCAGTAGGAACAGTAAAATTTAAAAACCACCAGTCAAGATAAATCTGATAAAACTTGTTAATGAAAAGAAAAATATTTGCAACCTGTATAAAATTTAAACCACATCAACTCTTATTGATCTTTGCATAGTGTTTGAATTCTTTATTTGATAAAATGATAAAAGGCAAAATAAATTCCAGCACATATTAACAGACATATATATGCAAGAACAGTACTACATCATAACCCTTCATGTACAAGCTTGGTCAAATAACAAACCAGATACTCACATGAACATGTATTTTCTCATATAATTTTTCTATAAATTTTCTTTAAAACATTTTTTTATAACAAATCATTCTCACAAGTCATTATTTAATAGTATCATTCTGAAAAAATATCTATTTTACATATTTCGTTAATAATCATGTTAATTTTGGATAAAATTTTACCAACAAGTGTGGTAACAAGATAGAATATTCCATTTTTAATTAATTGAAATTTGCCTCCTAAATTAAGATATGAAATGTGAACAGAAGACAAGAATTGACACAAACTGATGGCAACAGCTCACAAATCCTTAAATAAGTAGTGATATTATACAATGACAGTACAAATTATAAACATGTTATAAACTATATATCAGGTAGATATAAGTTTAAGTGGTCTTTTTCAAGTCTAACAAATTACATTCACTAATATGGATCACACAACATATGTGTGGTACACAATATGATCATTCTTACTGTGGTAAAACAAAATGTCATCTTTGACTTTAAATCCTTCATACAATTAAAGAACTATAGACAACATTATAAAATTTTATAAAAAATTTTACTACTAAAATTCTATTTCCTGACATTCAGCATGGACGGATCAATCAAATTGCTAAAAAATAAGGTATGCGTAGTAGACTACAGGACCAGTCAAATTTTTCTAATCTCTTATCCAAAAATTTAGCTCACAAACAAATATTAACTTTAACATTTATGGTGCAATGTAGTATTTAAATCTTTATATTATATATATTGACCTGATTCTCCATAAGGTCAAAGATTTAGCATCCTAAGAAGTAGGTTTCTTTGATAATAACAATTATTGCTAATTGATATAATAGAAGCTTGGTCACAGAAGCAAGTATGTCTGTAGATTAAAATTTCTGTTAATCTCTAGTAGCATTCACCATAATATGTTCCATTTAAATTCTACAATGTATATATAATCAGATTCATATGGAATCTAAAACAATTTACTCTTCATTTCATATAACAAAAAAATCATACACCTTCTGAATGATAGATTTTGATGTTGTAACACGTACTACACCTGAACTATTTTTTTGAGACAAAAGTGCCCTCAGTCCATCAATACCATTTCTTTGAATTGACAAAATAAAATGCTTCTTGCACAACCCAGTTGAAGCTGCCTTTTTGGCTAATTGTTTTGACATTACTTTATTTTCAACAAGAGCTTTGAAAGATAAGTCATTTTGGCAATATTTTGGGTACATTCCATCAAATGTATACTTACAGAAATGAGAAGCTAAATTTCCATGTGATCGCACCAGTTTAAATAAAGATTTACAGTCATACAAAGCATTATGTGCATCATAACTTTCCCCTAAAAAATCTGACACTAAATCACACTGCTTGTAACTTTGACGACCTGGATATTCACTCCTAAACAATATTCTTGTGTCAATGAACCCATTAAAATACAGGCAAAATTCATCCCACATCTTCAATTTATTCAATTGATTATACAGTATATGGCAGTCAAACGTTTTTATATTGTGTCCAACAAGTGTTGGTTTAGAAGGAAACTTGGACAAAAAAGCAATAAGATTAGTAAAGACTTCAAATGGTGGTGAACTTTCCACAGGAACTTCATCATAGTACATTTGCCCATCAAAGAATGCAAGTTTTGTTATATCAGATGCCTGTGGTGTTATCTTCTTTGATGGCATAACATAGGCTGAGAAAGTTTCATTCTCAGTTAAAGCTGCTATCTGTACAATATCTGACTGACGAGCTGAAAATTTTAAAATGATCTGTTAATCAAACTCAATAGATATAAGAAGATGAGGTATGAGTGAACTGTCCATCCAAGTCACAATGTATTAAAGTAAACTATTATAGATCAAAGTACGTCCTTTAATATGGACCCTTAGCTCACACCCAACTACAAGCTAATAAAATGCTCTGCTGGGGCGCAGCTTGATACGACCGCAGAGGTCGAACCCTGAAAACCAGTTGGGGCAAGTGTGGACACAACATTCAAGCTTGATACAGCACTGAATTTGGATTGTAATTAAATATTTGACACAGCATAGGTTTCTGACACAGAATGAAAGTGGTCTAAGAACTTAAAAAATTTTAATTTACCTATTCAAACCATATCATTATTATTTGCTTTTATATATAAATCAGAAATAACCAATTTAAAATGGAAAATTTTAAAGAAAAAAAGGGAAAAAAAAATCCCCCCAAAATTTTTTGAACCCCAATATGATTCATCACCCCCAAACTCAATCCCAGCCTTCCCTTTGTGGTATGGCACCTTGCAGTACAATTTCAGAGAGATCCATACACTTGAACACAAGTTATTGTCTGGAAACTAGAAAAATGCTTGTTTTTGGCCCCTTTTTGGCCCCAAATTCCTAATCGTTTAGGGCAATTACCCCCAAACTCAAACCCAGCTTTCCCTTTGTGATATGGAACCTTGCAGTACAATTTCATAAAGATCCATACACTTACACACAAGTTATTGTCCTGAAAGTAGAAAAATGCTTGTTTTTTTGCCCTTTTATGGCCCCTAATTCCTAAAATTTTGAGGAAATTACCCCTAAAATCAATCCCAGCCTTCCTTTTGTGGTATGGTACCTTGCAGTACAATTTCAGAGAGATCCATACACCTGAACACAAGTTATTGTCTGGAAACTAGAAAAATGCTTATTTTTGGCCCCTTTTTGGCCCCTTATTCCTAAACATTTTGGGCAATTACCCCAAAACTCAATTCCAGCTTCGGAACATCAGGTAAATGAATTTATTCTTAAATTTATGAAATAAAAGGGTTAATTTTTCAAAAAATAAAATTAACCTCTGTATTTCTGTAATTGTTTTGTACATAAATCAGGTGGTTAGTTTTTTTCTGGTTTTGTCATTTTGTGGCCTTCCATACCTGACTGTGTGGTATGAGTATTGATCATTGTCAAAGGCTATATGGTAACCTATAGTTAACCTCTTTGCCATTTAGTCTCTGGTAGAGAATTGTCTCATTTGGCAACCATACTACATCTTCTTATTTTATAATCATTATGATAACTTCAAAACAGGAACAACTGAAAATGCCAAGGATGGTTCTGTATATATCAGAGTTTTATTGTTGTGTAATAGCAATGACTTAGGCACATTTAGTATTCATTGGGGAATCAATTAATAATTAGAATATTTTATTGTGAGAATATACCCAATACTATTACAAAAAAGAAGCATTCAATTCTTGTAATTATATTATTAAGCTACCACCCAATGAGTAATATCACGATTTTGTTCTTTTCCCATGCATCATTGTGGTCCGAGTACACAGTTATTTCGTAGTGCATTTCTTTTAGACAATAAATGAAAATTAAAAAAATCCCACCTGCGCTTTCTCAATAATATTTTTACAGTGTGTTGTACTACTTTTGGGACAAATTATATCAAAATTATAGAAAACTTCATCGGCTCTAACTCAAAATATGGACAATTTCATGCTAAGGGGGTCTTCAAATCTTTTGACAGCTTCCGATGTGCTAATTTTTAACATTTTTCAGCTGGACCAAATCACTACTTTACTTTAAAATTCATGACCCAAATTTTTTTACAGTGTCATTTCACCCCCCTACTTACTATTTGAGTCATAAAACATGGAGAAATAAATTCGGAAGGGGTATCAAAAAAATCGACAAGTAACACACTGTCCACACTAGGGACTATATTCGTGGACAACGAAAATCAAAGGACGATAACTGTGTTCCCGGACCTTGTGACATTGTCATGGGAAGCACACACATTTATGAATGTTGTATTTTTTTGGAGAAAAGAAAGATATTTTGGAATTCTTTGTGATTTTTGTTAGCCAGCAAAAGTATACATTTTTAAGAAATGTAATTTCATGTAAAAATGAAGCTGTTTACACCAATAAATTTTGATTGATTATGTCTCAGATACACATAAATTTCTCTATAGGAATACATACACAAGCCTGTAGTTTCAAGATCAAATACTATAATTGGAAAGTTTTCCTCAGCTGTTATCTGTTTCCAAGTTGGAATTTCTTCTAGTTGGTCAGTTATATCATCCTCAATGTCTACAAAATAGTATTAGTTACACAGTGTGTAATTGTCCTAATACAAGAATTTATCAGGTGAATAAAATTCATATTCATTGAGGCAAAGCAAAACCCGATATGAATTTTATTCACAAAATAAATTCCATATTAGGACAATTGCACATGTGTAAAGAATTTCTCCTGATTTTTTTATATTACATATTATTATATTCATATTCAATTATTTGGACAATACCAACGAAATATATTTAGACATTTAATCTTAAATTTGAAAAATAAGTATTAGGAATTTAAAACCACTAATTTTTCTTGGTTTTTTTTTCATTATGTCAATGGCATAAGGGAGATAATTCCAATTTATGTAATAGAAAAGTGTACTGAAATTTATTAAACCAATATCAGGTAATCAAATTGCGAGAAATTACTCTATATCATGATAATTATTCTTGTTATTTGATTATTGCTTTACATTTGGTTTATTTTTTTTAGTTAATTGTGCTAATGAGGATAATAGTTAAAGAAAGAGTTATTATATGTCATTTTGTAACTTGTGGAAAGTTGTCTCATTGGCAATTATAAACTGTTATATATTTGTTGCAAACAATGTTGTATTAGAATTATATTTGGCTTATAACCAGAAGCTTTGAGAAGTTTGCTAGGGCTTATTTGGATTAACTGTGACATGAATGAAAAAATTTGATTTAAAATATGTTGATAGGTAAGGCATGAGTTTCTTTTCAAAGGAAAAACTGAATGTGAAACGTGAATGAATAAAAAATGACTATGGATGCAAAATGATGGTATTACCTCACCATTGCATCCAGCAAGGTGAGCTTTAAATGAAAAGTGGCATGCTCCTGTATTGTAATTGTGTCAAATATGATATTTAATAAAATGCTCCGCAGGGCGCAGCTTGATACGACCGCAGAGGTTGAACCCTGAACAGTTGGGGCAAGTATGGACACAACATTCAAGCTTGATACAGCTTTGCATTTAGATTGTGATTAAATATTTGACACAGCATAGGTTTCTGACACAGAATGAATGTGGTCTAAGAACTTGAAAATTTTAAATTGGACATTCACCTATTATGGTCCAATATCCAAAATCTAAATACATGGTTAGATTCAGCATATCAAAGAACCCCAAGAATTCAATTTTTTATGAAATCAAACAAAGTTTAATTTTGGACCCTTTTGACCTCAATGTGGACAAAGTTGATAACGGGGCCCAAAAATCAAAAATCTAAATACATGGTTAGATTCAGCATATCAAAGAACCCCATATATTCAATTTTTATTGAAATCAAACAAAGTTTAATTTTGGGCCCCGATTTGGACCAACTTGAAAACTGGGCCCATAATCAAAAATCTAAATACATGTTTAGATTCAGCATATCAAAGAACCCTTAGAATTCAATTTTTGTTAAAATCAAACTAAGTTTAATTTTGGACCCTTTGGACCTTAATGTAGACCAATATGAAAACGGAACCAAAAATTAAGAATCTAAATACACTGTTAGATTCGGCATATCAAAGAACCCCAATAATTCAATTTTTGATGAAATCAAACAAAGTTTAATTTGGACCCTTTGGACCTCAATGTGGACCAATTTAAAAACGGGGCCCAAAATCCAAAAACTAAATACATGGTTAGATTCAGCATATTAAAGAACCCCAAGAATTCAAGAATAAAACCCCATTGAAATTGGTCAAGAAATAAGCAATTTATATGAAGTATCTTCTTTTGCACAATACTGTGCAATTAAATATTTCTTGCTATTGCGCAATACTGTACAATTGGCAATTTCTTGCTATTGCGCAATATTGTGCTATTGGATACTTCTTGCTATTGCGCAATACTGTGCAATTGAAGATTTCTTGTTATTGTGCAATACTGTGCAATTGAAGATTTCTTGCTATTGTGCAATACTGTGCAATTGAAAATTTCTTGCTATTGCACAATACTTATTATATAATAATTTACACATCCTGTTTGGTGTGTATCTCCTACCATATCATTATTATTTGCTTTTAAATATAAATCAGAAAAAACCAACTTAAAATGGAAAATTTTAAAAGAAAAAAAAAAGGAAAAAAAAAAAATCCCCCCCCCCAAATTTTTTGAACCCCCTTATGATTCATCACCCCCAAACTCAATCCCAGCCTTCCCTTTGTGGTATGGTACCTTGCAGTACAATTTCAGAGAGATCCATACACTTGAACACAAGTTATTGTCTGGAAACTTGAAAAATGTGTTTTTTGGCCCCAAATTCCTTAACATTTAGGGCAATTACAACCCAAACTCAATTCCAGCTTTCCCTTTGTGATATGGAACCTTGTAGTACAATTTCAGAAAGATCCATACACTTACACACAAGTTATTGTCATGAAACTAGAAAAATGCTTGTTTTTTGCCCCTTTTTTGGCCCCTAATTCCTAAAATTTTGAGGCAATTACCCCCAAAATCAATCCCAGCATTCCTTTTGTGATATGGAACCTTGTGGTACAATGTCAGAGAGATCCTTACACTTACACACAAGTTATGTCTGGAAGTTACAATAAAATGCTTCGCTGGGGCGCAGCTTGATACGACCGCAGAGGTCGAACCCTGAACAGTTGGGGCAAGTATGGACACAACATTCAAGCTTGATACAGCTCTGAATTTGGATTGTTATTAAATATTTGACACAGCATAGGTTTCTGACACAGAAAGAATGTGGTCTAAGAACTTGAATTTTTTTAATTTACCTATTATGGTCCAATGTCCAAAATCAAAATACATGGTTAGATTCAGCATATCAAAGAACCCCATATATTCAATTTTTGTTAAAATCAAACAAAGTTTAATTTTGGACCCCAACTTGGACAAACTTGAAAACTGGGCCCATAATCAAAAATCTAAACACATGTTTAGATTCAGCATATCAAATAACCCCAAGAATTCAATTTTTGCTAAAATCAAACTAAGTTTAATTTTGGACCCTTTGGACCTTAATGTAGACCAATTTAAAAAACGGGACTTAAAATTAAAAATCTAAAAACACGGTTAGATTTGGCATATCAAAGAACCCCAATAATTCAATTTTTGATGAAATCAAACAAAGTTTAATTTTGGACCCTTTTGACCTCAATATGAACCAATTGGATAGCGGGGCCTACAAATAAAAAATCTAAATACATGGTTAGATTCAGCATATCAAAGAACCTCATATATTCAATTTTTGTTGAAATCAAACAAAGTTTAATTTTGGACCCCAATTTGGACCAACTTGAAAACTGGGCCCATAATCAAAAATCTAAATACATGTATAGATTCAGCATATCAAAGAACCCCATATATTCAATTTTTGTTGAAATCAAACAAAGTTTAAATACTGGACCCTATCTTGGACCAACTTGAAAACTGGGCCCATAATCAAAAATCTAAACACATGTTTAGATTCAGCATATCAAAGAACCCCAAGAATTCAATTTTTGTTAAAATCAAATTAAGTTTAATTTTCGACCCTTTGGACCTTAATGTAGACCAATTTAAAAAAACAGGACCCAAAATTAAAAATCTAAATACACGGTTAGATTTGGAATATCAAAGAACCCCAATAATTCAATTTTAGATGAAATCAAACAAAGTTTAATTTTGGACCCTTTTGACCTCAATATGAACCAATTTGATAACGGGGTCCACAAATAAAAAATCTAAATACATGGTTAGATTCAGCATATCAAGGAATCCCATATATTCAATTTCTGTTGAAATCAAACAAAGTTTAATTTTGGACCCCAATTTGGACCAACTTGAAAACTGGGCCAAAAATCAAAAATCTAAATACATGTTTAGATTCAGCATATCAAAGAACCTCATATATTCAATTTTTGCTAAAATCAAACAAAGTTTAATTTTGGACCCTTTGGACCTTAATGTAGACCAATTTGAAAACTGGACCCAAAATTAAAAATCTAAATACACTGTTGGATTCGGCATAACAAATAAATAAATGTGATCAAAGATTTTACAAATCTAATGCGCCATACTGTGCAATTAAAAATTTCTTCTTGAAATTTTTCAATATTTGAAATTTGAAAAAAAAAAAATATTTGAAGAATAATTTTTTTAATTTCTGAAATCTGAAATGAGAAAAATTGACCCCCCACAATTTCTTTTGATCCCCCCCCCCCTTTTTTCCCCAAAAAAATTCTTTCCCTCAAGATATGGTCATAATTTCAATTCAAATTTCCAATGGAGTGGGCAACCATAATTACCCATTTAAATTTACCATAGTGCTAACTTAATCTATTTTATAATAGAATTAATAAATATAGTGTCAAATCTTTCATATGGATTTTTTTGTAAAAAAATAAGATGCAACATTTGCAGATATTTTTACTGGTCTTCCTTTATAAATATGCATTTCTTTAAACATAATTTAAAAGCAGTGTAAGGGAAGTAACCAAAACGTTGTATTTGGATTACCTCCCTTACACTGTTTTAAATTATCTTTATTGTTCATTAATCATTACTTTATACATAATTTAAAAGCAGTGTAAGGGAGATAATTTCAATGATGTATTTGATTTATCTCCCTTACACTGCTTTAAATTATGTTTTGTACTAAAGTATTTGTCCATTAACCAGGACAACCTTGTTTTTCCCCCTTTTTTGCCCCTAATTCCTAAACGGTTTGAGCCATAACCCCCCAAAGCAAATCCTAACCATCCCTTTGTGGTATGGAAACTTGTAGTATAATTTCAGAGAGATCTATACACCATTCCACAGTTATTGTCTGGAAACTATAAAATGCTTATTTTTGGCCCCGTTTTGGCCCCTAATTCCTTAACTGTTGGTACCATAACCCCCAAAATCAATCCCAACCTTCCTTTTGTGGTATTTAACCTTATGGTCAAATTTCAAAAAAGATCCATTTACTTAAACTAAAGTTAGAGTGCGAAAACCAATGTGTCTTCGGACGACGACGCAGGATGACGACGCCAACATCATACCAATATACGACCACAAAATTTTTTTGCGGTCGTATAAAAATGCTTATTTTTGGCCCCCTTTTTGGCCCCTAATTCCTTTACTGTTGGTACCATAACCCCCAAAATCAACCTTGTGGTAAAATTTCATAGAGATCGATTCACTTAAACTAAAGTTAGAGTGCGAAAACCAATGTGTCTTCGGACGACGCAGGACGACGCCGGACAACAACGACAACGACGACGACGCCAACGTCATACCAATATACGACCAAAAAAATTTTTTTGCGGTCGTATAAAAACAGAAAGAAGATGCATGTACCAATATTGGTTTCATAAGTTGTTCCCTCTAGAACTTCTGCTATACCATTGCTGTTACATTTCTCCGACTTTAGCTCAATTCTTCTCCTTTTATATTTCCTCGTCTTCTGTAATTTACTGTACTTTCTTCTGATCTTATCCATGAAGGTAGCACGCTTTATGGTAAAATTGCCTGGTGAGAGCCCCATTGATTCATGAACCTGTTAAAATGCATGTCAGAAAAAATATTTAATAATTACAACAGTATACATGTGCCATTCTCAACTTTAATCTTAATATTGTACACACTCACTGACTGAAATGTTATGACTAAAATTTGAAGACGATATATGTCTCTGTTTGTATACCTTGCCGACTCTACATAAATATTATTAAAATATTATAATATTGAGGATTCATTTATTTTGATGGGTAGCAAATTTCATGAATTTCTGAAACCTTGGGTTTACCATGTTTATGTGAATGTGATGTTGTGGTTCTGTCAAAGTCTGGATACAACTTTAGAAAAATTTAATAAAGAATTACAGATGTTGTTCTAAATAGTTCATTTAATTACCTCATGCACATATCTGTGGCCTTCATTTTTCTGTGCCACTGTTGCACTAAACCTGTAACTCAGACTGTTAGATGCAGAATAATGTTTATATTTAGGTGCTTTTGTTGCTAACATTTGGTTGAGATTTTGATTTGTTTGAGTGCTAGCAAGATTTGCAAGTTTTTCTGCTTGAATTGATAATTTTTTAATAAAAATTCTATCCAGTTCCTTCCTCAGCTCTGGATTTTGAAGTGGTTTGCCGTATGGTAACTTACTAAATTTTGCCAAAGGGTGTTCAAGGAAGACACACCACTTGGTATTACAGAAGCTATGGTCACCAAAAATATGTCCTACCATTGCTTTCAAGCCAGTTGTTACACCTTCTGTGTTTTTTTTATTTTGCGCAACCATGTATGAAAAATTCTGCATGATGTAATTGATGACCCTTTGTGACAATTCTTTGTAATTCTTTTTTATTGCATATAACTGTTTTGATATGTTTTTCTTGATATGGTTTTTGTCCGATCTTTTCTTAAGTTTTATTTTAAGAACGTTTTGTGCCCTTTGAAAACCTGTAGTGTCATCATCACCAGCAATTTCTTTAATATCGACACCCTTATTTATTACATCTTTTATCATATCAACCACTAAAGCTGGCTCCATGCCTTTAGATGAGCCTGTATGGTTTTTGCTGCATTTGTGCTCTTTTGGAACTATACCTTTTCTTTTGGCAACATCACAAGTCCTGCAATTTTTTGATTTTATTTTTACATTCAATACCTTCCCGGTCTTCTGTCCAATCAGTGATGCACATCCTAAAACATGCATAACATATCAAAAGATTTAATGTTGTTAGTATAGAAACATGATATATTTTGTGCATGTTATCAATAGGATAATAACAAGCATTCTGTGAGCATTTCCTGGCAATACATAGTCCCCTAACAGATTAAAATTACATTGTACTAGAACAAAATGTTAACCAGAACTATAACTTGTCATTGTGTAAACTATATAACAAATATCAAGTCATTGTATTCAAAACAGATAAACAAAAAAATTTTGAACATTTATTATCTGAGTGAATTTTTTTATGTCCAAGGACCATAACTCTGCACAAAATAATCAGCCTGGAACTTAATTCGAACTTGATATTTAACTTGTCATGATAAAACTATATACCAATTTTCAAATAAATATCTTCAAGCAAGAAGAAAAGATGAGGAAAACTGATTAAGTGAGTGAATTTCCTAAGTACAAGGACCATAACTCTCTACAAAATCATTAGACCAAACCAAAACTGAACTTGATCTGTAACTTGTCATGATAAGACTATATACCAATCATCAAATTACTATCTCAAAGCATGACTAAAAATTTGTGTAAAACTTATTATTTGAGTTTAACATCAATTGATACTTCAAAATAATATTCTTCAATTTTTTAAACATAACAAATACTAATTTATATAGTGTTAATTGTGTTACTATACCAGACAAACTATTATAGGATTTCCCGGAGCCTTTTTTTTGCCAACAGGTATCGGTGGAAACTGCAATCCCTTTGTTTTCTCCATTGTCATCAGAATCTATTGATAAAATAAAAAAAACATGTATACAAAAAATTGCACAGAATAGCAAATTGATCCCAAGTTATATACAATATTTACTTCGTACATTATGAGAAAAAATATAAATAACTTGTATGAGCTGTATAAACTGGACTAAAAGTGAGACTTGTTAAGCTTTTCTGGCTTTTGTAGAGAGTACAAATAAATTTTATATTTCAGACAATGTAAATATATATTTGTATTTTTATCAATCTGATGAGTTAAGTCTTTTTTTCAACTGATTTTTATACCTCGTTCTTATATTGTACTGTTACACCACTTGTTCTTATATTGTTATGTTATACCACTGTCACTGTCCCAGGTTAGGGGAGGGTTGGGATCCCGCTAACATGTTAAAACCCGCCACATTCTTTATGTATGTGCCTGTCCCATATTAGGAGCCTTACATTCAGTGGTTGTTGTTTGTTTAGGTGTTACATTTTTGTTTTTCGTTCATTTTTTTGTACATAAATTAGGCTGTTAGTTTTCTTCAGAGGCAGATTAAGAGGGGGGCTTAGGGGGCCTGGGCCCCCTTTTTCTGGTAAAAATTGGTTGATTATATAGGGAATTACTGAGGGGGGCTTAGGGGGCCTGGGCCCCCTTTTTCTGGTAAAAAATTGGTTGATTTTATAGGGAATCACTGAATCATGAATGAAGTGGGCCCCCTTTTATGTCGTCAGTGGGCCCCACTTATGAAAATTTCTAGATCTGCCACTGTTCTTGTTTGAATTGTTTTACATTGTCATTTCAAGGCCTTTCTTAGCTGATAATGTGGTATGGGCTTTGCTCATTGTTAAAGGCCATATTGTGACCTATTATTTCTGTGTCATTTGGTCTCTTGAGGAGAGTTGTCTCATTGGCAATTATAATATATCTTTTTTTTTTATATTGTTTTTAATCTGCAATTTACACCTGGCACTTTTGTAAAGAGGACCCCTAAATAATATGTGTATATTGACGGTAAGGGTCAAAAGTTAATAATTGATGCTGATTGGCCTCCTAACCACTACTTAGATGACATGATATAGTTTAAGAATTTCTGGACAGTTTGTAAAACTCGATAATTACCATGAATAACGAGCAAAAAAACATGCCTAAGTTACAACAAACCATGAATATTTTCCTGTAAATTAGACTCCATATTTAGATATTTTATCATGGATTCTTCAGCATATGAATCCAATGCTGCCCCAACTTCTTCTTCTCTCGTCTTTAACCCAGATACGCTCAAATAGTGAAGATTCACCGAAGCCAACAGATTACTAAGTTGGGTCTCACCAAGGCCTACGTGAAGCATTCCTGTTGAAAATGAAATTATTGCATTGATTTGTATTATACATGTTAAAAATGAATTAAAGTACAAACTTCCTTAGTACCAGCAATAAATATTTGATTTAAAGATCACTGATAATGCTTCTTCTGATGACAAAAAAGTAGTATAACTTGTGTATATACATGAAGTGTATTGCAAACAAATGTATAAAAAAGTATAAGGTGTGTGTATAGACTTAGTGTAAAGTACATGTAAGTTAATACATGTATATAATAAATTATAATTTGTGTATGTTAAGTACATGTATAAAGTGTATTTAGTAGGTTTATATTTAAAAAATAGTTTAACTTGTGAGTAAAGTGTACAAGTAATTTAACATGTTTAATATTAATTTATTTTCAATACAAATCTTATTAATAGATATATATATATAAACTCCTATGCTGATCTTACTAAAATTTGTAATTTCAAACCCATATATGTTTCTTTCAATATGTCTGTGTTTTAAAATTTTAAATATAGGAAAAAGAAAAAGTATAATGAAATTAACACAAATCTGGAAGACCTCTGACATCAGTACATGAAATAGCTGTAATTATGCATGGTTATTGTTTATTATATTATTTATACTTTACCTAATTTATCAAACAATTTTTTGCCACACATGGAGCCATTCCAATTTTATAAAGTGTTTATAGGAGCTGCTTAATAACAAAGAATTACAAACAGTTGACATAAATAAACAAGCTGATTGTAATTAACAATTTAGTAAGCAGTCCTTAATTAAGTAGACAGCACTTCTGTATCTACAAAATATTTTACATTATTTAATCTTTGACACTAGTTTAAATATATCATGTACTGATCTCAAAAAATGCTTACCAATGAAAATAAAACAATCAACAGTCTTCTCTGAAATGTCCATGCAAAACATATTGTACATCATTCTCTTCAGGTTTCCATCAGTTCAATTTAAAATTACAGATTAAACAAATGGTAAACTATTCTCTTCAGATTCCACCATTTGACACGGAAACCAGCATGGCAAGGAAAGAAAATCAACTGATTTACTAGTTTCTTTCACAATGCACAGTCCTAGCTGTTAGGGGAATTGAGCACTCACGAACTCATTAACCCATCAGCATTCTTAATGTGCTTGTCCCAAGTCAGGAGACTGTACAATCAAGTTCAGTGGTTGTTGTTGGTTCATGTCTGTCATATAGGTTTTTCATCAATTTCTTGGTTTTAAATTAGTCTGTCTATACTCTATAGTCTTCATAATTGAATTGTCTTATATTTTTCATGTCAGGTATTAAATAGCTGACTATGCCATGACATCAATTTTTCTCCTTGTTGAAGGTATTATGGTTGCCTTTAATTGCTTACATCCACTTTATTTATGTTGTTTTTATTGTACATGCATGACATGTACATGTGGATGCATCATTTTAATCAGTTCACCAAAATCAATTTCTGATATCCCTTTCCTTTTTGGCTGTCAATGTCATACATGTATATAACAGTACTGCATTTTAAGGCCTTTAAAACAGATTTATGTCAAACACAATTTACAATGGGGTAACTGTTTAAGCCAAATTTCTCCATGACCCACCAAGAAAAGGGTTACATGTATATGCATGTTAATATTTTTCTATCTTCAAATCATGACTGAATTAAACCTGAAGAAAAAAAATCATTTATTGATCACATATATAACAAAAATGAAAAAGTAACACAAACATACAGTTATAATTTTTCAGAGTGCCATTCATGTACCTGTTGCAATTTTGGTGTTTACATCAAAAACTCCTGGACCCCTTTTGCTCGGTGTTGTAAAATGACGCTTTGACAGTGGGATTTTCTTAACTCGAATACATTGCTTACATTCTATGTAAAGCCATCCTCCTAACCCTCTTGGTAAAACACCTAATGAATCCTTCAGATGAAGGGGTTTCATACAATTTGAACATGACTCAAGGCCTTGAATAATCAGATCAATTTCAATAATAAATCTACAAAAATTTAAAGGAACTAGGTTGTCTGGTAGTATATCAGTTCTATCATATATAAGTTCATCTTCTTCATCACTTCTGCCTCCGGCGATATTTGATACAAGTTTTATAACATTTAAATTGTCACTAACAGTAACACAATAATCGTGTTCCTCTCTTATTCCAGATGCCAAATTTGAATTACTCTGACTTTTCTGATGTCTGATTTTCATAAACGACGCAGATTTGCTTATTAATTTGTTTGTCGAAAATTTACCCATTTTAAATTTTAAAAATACCATTTCAAATCGTTGGAGTGTTGATATTTACATTTTCCGGTTGATCGACGCTGAAGAATTTCGAGTTTCCGGTAGAAAGTCGTAAATATAAAATGCGTTGGAAAAGGATCTTTATAAAATAATGATTAAGTTTTTGATCATTTATTAATAAATAAATTACCTCTTTAATAGTAAAAAAACATATTTTCATAAATCAATCCCCAAATAATATTTCAACATCTGACAGTCTTCGGATCGTAGTTGCGCAAGTTTTATGCGCGGTGGTATTCAAATGACTTACCTTAAATCAAGTTAGAAGCATTTTGTTTAAATAAAGTTATCAATCTTTTTGTTTCAATGTATTATTCGTGGATTAAAGACATTAATAACATTTAGATTTGTAAAAAAAAAAAAAAAAAAAAAATATCACATTGAACATATTTACGAAAGTATTTAATAATATTTTTTGTTATAATACTAGAGAAAAAACAAGGTGTTGTTAAAGATATTTAGAAATAACAATACGAATTGTATTGTCTATTTGTTCACGTTTGAATTTAGACTACTTAACATTTCATTTAAAATCATACTGATCAAAATATCGCATTTCTTCTAATATACGAATGGGTTTTGTTTCTTCTATATAATTGCGTTTTTATTGATTAGAACATTTTTTATGTTTGCCAATTTCAATAAATCACCATATACAACATTCACTATCTATTGTCCTTTCATTTTTCATGTTTTGTAAACTAATCACAGTATACTTATCTTTATGGTACATGACACTTACGGTGCACTGAAAAATATAAATGAAAATACAAGTTTTAAATCTGAGGAATAATTTAAAACAATCACGATATAGAGAAAACACAAGGTGTTGTGAAGGATATCTAAAATCAACAATATGAATTGTATTGTCTACTGATCAAAATATCGCATGTTTCTAATATTTGAATGGGTTTTGTAACTTCTATATAATTGCGTCTTTATTGATTAGAACTGTTTTTATATTGTCCAATTTCAATAAAACACCATACACAACATTCACTATCTTTTGTTCTTTCATTCTTCATTTTTTGTAAAATAGTCGCAATATACTTATATTTTAGAGTAGATAACACCTACATTGGACTGAACAATACGAAAAAAAATACAAGTTTAAAATCTCAGGAATAATTTAAGACAATCATAATCCAGCAAATACTCATCTACAAAAAAAAACAGTTTATA